AGAAATAAGCAACCAGGTCTATGAAAACAAGCCCCAAAGAAGCAACACATACATGATGTTCTGTAATTTGAAACCAAAACTAAGGCCTCAGGATGACTTTAAGACTTGTACATGGTCATTTTTGTTTTGTAACATTGAATACAAAATTTAAAAAGAAGCATTTATAAAAATAAAAAATACCCGATCCCCGATTTTTTTCCTCCCGATTCCGATCTTTTGAAAATACATCGGCTCCGATCCCCGATCACGAGATCAGAACGGGAACCATGGCAACAATGCTCCGGGGTCTACTTCGCTGCTTTTGGTGTATTCCGGGCGGCAGCAGCGCCACTTACAGGCCTGACATATGTACTACATCGTTTCCAGCATTTCCAGCGGTCTAGTGTGAACGGACACGTTAATGAATCGAATGCGTGTGAACGGAAGACTTTTTTGCGCTTGCGTATGCGTTTTACCGTATGCATCCTTGTGGGGCCGGGGTCTAAGCCAAACTATATCCGGTCACAGATATCTGCTATTTTAAAGTAAAGTCAACATATAGACCCTAAATAGTCTATATTAAGAACGAGAAAAGTCTTAACATATATATCCTTTTTTGTAAACATATGACAAATGTGTGAGGGTGATGACGTCAGAGCATCGTCCTATGTGCCAGGGCTTAGCCCCGGACAGCCCCAGCCCAATTTAACCCCTGGGTATTTGTGAGGGAGCTCCTATATGGCATTACCCCGCTGAAGCTCACCAAAGTTTAACATATTTCATAGTTCAAAGTTTTGTCAATTGTTTTGTTTATTGTTCAAATAGTGGTTTATAATGGTTTCTGAGGAGTTTTACTTCAGGATTCCTGTATATACCCTGTTATTGTATGTTGAACTCTTATTTGTCTTTGTGTTAAAATATTGAATGTAACTCTTTGCATGTTTTAAAAATGGTTTAACTTTGAGGCAGACATTTTGAATGCCTTTTTGAAAACTACCACCAGGAGTCGCCAAAGGCTAAATGTTTTTCATTTGAATTTAGCTTGAGAGATATACAGTACCACTGTACTGTAGGTTTAAATATAATGAAATACAGCTGATAGTAATAACTTCCTTTCTTTCATCCTTTCCTCCTTTGTTCCAGGGTACATGGAGTCTTTTGAGGAGGTCAGGGCTCAGGAGCTGGACAAGATGACCCAGAGCCAAGAGAACATCGTCTCCATCCTGGAACACTGCAGCAGGGTGAGGGAGGGGAGGGGGGGGGAGAATCAGAACACATTTGTTAGACCCACAGAATGGACATTTACATTTGTTACAGCAAGTTCACAGCCAAAGATAGCTTAGTATTAATTAGGAAGCATGTATACAAATATGCAAAAATGGATTAGACTGTAAATAAAGGAAAGTAACGGATGCAGTAAATAGCCAGAATAGTAAATACATTTCGGGGGGTAAAAGAACACGTGGTAGAAAACAGTGTGTGTGTGTGTGTGTGTGTGTGTGTGTGTGTGTGTGTGTGTGTGTGTGTGTGTGTGTGTGTGTGTGTGTGTGTGTGTGTGTGTGTGTGTGTGTGTGTGTAGAACATGTTAAGGCTACATCAGGTGGACACAGTGACAGCCAGTGAGCTGAGGAACATGCAGGAAGTGCTGGTCAGCAAGGAGACGGAGGTGGTCCAATCAGAGAGCACCGCCAGAGGACTGACAACAGGTCAGTAACACACACACACACACACACACACACACACACACACACACACACACACACACACACACACACACACACACACACCGTTTCTCAATGTCGAGTAAACCTGCTGCAGAGCCACTATTTCAAGTACGGTAAATGCCCAGGATTCGTCGCCACTCAATGACGTAGTAAAATAGTGGCTCTGCAGCAGGTATACTCAACATTGAGAAATGGCTGCAACACACACACACACACACACACACACACACACACACACACACACACACACACACACACACACACACACACACACACACACTGCTACATAGTTTGAGTTTCTCCTTTCTTATAAAAGACCTGTAGTATTTTGGATCCTGTTGTATTTTTGACTTTTTATTTCATTTATCCAGAATATTCTATATTGTTTTGTTTATGTTTGATATATTTTTTAATTTAATTTTGAATTGTTAATTATCTTTTCCACATTTTAAAGTATTTAAAGTATTGTATTGTATTATAAAGTCTGAACATACTTCTGCTTCTGCGACGAAATAATTTCCCAAATTGGGATGATCTGATAAACCTTTGGTAATGTTCAACATATCTAAAACTAAAATCAACATGCACAATTCCTTATATATATCGTCTTTAACTCATTCCCCAACAATATAAATGAAATATATGATTAGTTTTTGAAAATACTCTTTGCTAGATCAAATTTAACAATGGAAGTGTCCATCGTTTTTTGTGATAAAAATGTAATTTATGTTAAAAAAAAATACACTGTAATAAAAACTAGGTTTACATTTTGCTCATGCTTTTCTAGGACAAATGTAAATGAACATTTTTTTCATTAATGTTTATTATTTTTAATCTGTCATATAATAATCAAAGCCCTGAAGGAAATAAAGCAATTTAGCAGCAATTGGAACCCAAGAACCACACATCCAAAAGTGTTTGGCTGTGAAATATAGAGAGAATGAAACATCCATATAAATGACAGAGAACAGATATAAACACAAAGCAAATAAAAACAATTAACAGTGACTATTCATAAAATCCGAAAAATATATTGATGAAGTGACGCTGCAGAACATTATGTGAGTCAATGGGAAGTCCGTTTAGGAAACACATGATGTAGAACTTCTTCGTGTGTATAGCACAGATGTACTTGTTGTAGTTGCTGCATGTAGTCTGTGTCTTGGAGTCCTTTGAGGGTCGTGTGTGTGTGTGTGTGTGTGTGTGTGTGTGTGTGTGTGTGTGTGTGTGTGNCTTGTGATCAATAATTGTATGTCCACAACGTAGGAGTAGGTTTAACTGGTTTTACTTTGATAACAAGCTTCCCGGGACTTCCTCGTGGGAACATGTACAACAGGCTCTTTTAATATCAAGAGTGAGTTTGCCCCCTGCTGGACAAATGCAATGACATGTAATAATAACACAAGGTAAGACACCACAGATCGTTTTGTGTACACACTACAAAGGGTAAAGATCAAGGGAAAACAGGATCAAACAGCTTCTCTCTGCATACAATTTTGTGTGTGTGTGTCTTTAGTTTGTGTGTTTCTGTGTGTTTTTCTCTGTCTGTCTGTCCTGGTATTGACCCAAACTTCTTATGAGGGACATAAATGCGGGTGGGCATTTTTTCATAAGTGGAAAAAAATAAAAACAATTCCACATGTCCTTCACAATAAATAAGCCCCGGCCATTGAGTTTCAGGTTGAACGAAAATATCCTTATATTTTGTTTTATTCATTGAAAATGGAAATCGGGTCAATTTGACCCGAACACCAAACAACAGGTAAATGCTAACATGCTAACCTCCACCCAGAATCCCAGCGGCTGCAGCAGGACCTGGAGAAGGTGCAGCAGCTGGAGGGGAAGATCAGCGGGGAGCTCAGCTCCCTGAAGGAGCGCGTCGGCACCATGGAGACGGAGCTGCTCACCTACAGAGACCTGGACACCCTGAGGCACACAGGGGAGGAGAAGAAGAAGGTGAAAAGAGACTCAGAAATGAGAAAGATGGCAGCATCACGAATATCAGCCCCATAACTCTAAAATATCAGTTTTTATTTGGCTAAAGATAATCAAACTGTAGGCTAACCTTTGTTTCATTCTGGTGCAGAGGCTACAAGAGGAGCGTGTGTCACTTACTCAGCGTCGGGATTCATTCAAACAGCTTCTGGAGGAAATGAATCAGAAATATGAAGCTCTGAAGACCAAACTGCAAGAAAACGAGACTCACGCTCAGGTCAGAGCATTTTACACTGTTATCAAAAAACACATCAATCACTACTCTACACATACAACCGTTAGATGCTGTTATAGACCCGTATTATTCTCCTCATGCTAATTTTCTGTGTGTGTGTTCTTTGTGATATAGCTAGCTAACCTTGAGAGGAAATGGCAACACTTGGAGCAGAACAACTTTGTGATGAAAGAGTGTATCCTTCTGAATGATGTCTTTTTCTCCTTATTGCTGAATGATTTGTCCCCACTGAACCCTTCTATGAAACATTTGATCCCGTAAAAGCCACTCATTGGATACATCAGGGATCTTTCCTTAACTGAAGCATCAGTCATCGCCTCGAAATCTCAGGAGAGTGACTACGCCTCGGTCGCCAAGAATGTCTCCCAACAAGTGGCAGAATACAACAAGAGTCTCATCGACTCTCTGCAGAACAACAGGAGTTAAACACACACACACACGCACACGCACACACATAAAAAGGCATTTTAGTCAATGTTACCATAAAGTGGTCAGCACATAGAATCATTTAAAAGTGATTCAGTTTTCTCTTAAGAAAGCATTGATACTTCAAAATGTTTCAGCAGCACGCTATAAAAAATGGCAAATTTTTAAAGTTACTCTAAAAAAACGAATGTTTTGCTAGTTCATTATATCAAGTCTGTGATGGATTGTTTTGTCCGTAAAACTGCAGCTGCTTACTGTCCTCAAATACACTAATATGTCAATGTAGTGAACGTTTTAAATATGTAGTATTTTTCTATTTAAATGTAAAGCAGATTTTTGAGCATTGTGGGTTTCTGTAATTCTATCTTCAAAGTTCTCTAAATATTTGAATAAAGATGTTTTGACAAAAGAAAACACTCAAGTCAGAAAAAATGTACTTCCCATTTTTTATATTTATTGCTTTTAATTACAGAAAAACTATTTGCATAAAATCCAAATTCCACTTTAGAAATATGTTTGACCTTTCAAGTACATAGATATCAAAGAGTACAGTAAACATTACAACTGAGGTGGGCAGCACAGGGACTCCTTGCAAATACAGTACAGCATTTTGCAAACCATCAACACAACTACACTCGGGTTGTTAGGGGCCTCCTCAGTATTTACACTGGACCCCTCTGATTTCTGATCACTGGATCCAGAACTCAGCAGGATCTGATCCGCTTAAAACATCCACTGAAGAGCAGGGAAGCAGTTTTGGACACAAGTAATGTTCAAAGTGGAACTGAAGACAATCGAATCTCACAGCAGTCAGTTTAAGGGTGTGCATCCTTTAAAAATGGACGTAAAATATCTCTGAATCCACCTCTGGTTTTTCCTTAAAGTCACTTTTTTAGTATTCATGAAAACAATATGCATAGACTTAAATGTAACTAATGCACTGACAGTAGGTGGAACAGGGATGGGAGACAAAAACAAGCCCTGAAAACACCTTAAGGGCAGAAAGTTGCACACTCAGAAACAACATTGATTGGGGAAGCATTACATGCCACATTAATCTCGAGGAAGTGAGAAGAAGCATCCTTCGGTCAAATATATTTCAATTGTCTTTAGACAGGCCTATAAACACAGATGCTCATAATGTACAAACATCATTAACAGTCCAGGTTTAAGTTATTTTTGTTAACGGTTACCTCCTTGCACACGTTCTCATATGGAAGTGTTCAATATTAAATACATAAAAAATACATTATGACAAAAATAACACGAATTAACCATGTCAAATATATAAACCATCTCGTTATAGAAAATTAATGGCCTTTTATTTTCAAACTTAGATTGTTTTCATGTCACTTTTCTTTGCCCTAGCAGCTAACAGGTGCGAACTAGCTAAATCTGGCAGAAGTTGTTGATCTTGCTAGCTTAAGAGGCAGGGAGGCATGTGATTGGCTGAAAAGTTGGAAGGCGGGACAGGTCGGCTGTTATGAAAGAGGACATTTTAAAGCAAAAGATTCAAAGAAAAAAACCTATAAAACGTATTAAAGTATTTCAACAGCTATGTTTCATTTATTGTTTACTATTGTGCACATAGGAGCTCCATATTCTTACATCCGGCCTCTATTTATTATTCAAATGTTTCCAAAACACTTTTTAAAGAATCTTCAAAGAGCTTAAAACCAAATTAGGCATTACAGTAAAGGTGATTTTGGTGACTTCAGTTGTCAAATGCCATCAGGTTTGTCTGATGTTGTAGGTTCGTTGACAACAGTTTTGTGTACAAGGTATACAGATAAGTTTGATTAGTTAAAAGATATTTAGAAAACATCAGGTATCGCCCCCCTCAGTTTTAGCTACAATAAACTTACATTCCGCTCTTAGTAGGCTTAGAATGGAACTAGCTGTGTACCATTATCTCTTAAAGATGCAATCTGTCATACAAATACAAAACAATTGTAATAAGTTACCAACAGGGCAGGAAAGTAGTGCTTGTTGTTTCTCTATATAAAAGCATACATTTCTTTGTCTATAATTAGAGTTTGAATTTGTGTCTGTCTACCCATTATAATGAATAGTTTGACAATGGTTTCACCGTCTGCAGAATTGCACTCTGAAGACTGAAACAAATAAACAGTTGACGTGTATGTTCTTATTTGTCCTAAATTTAAACAAACACTAGAGACCCGACACTATAAAAAAAGTACAGGTATATGCCAACAGCTAGCAAAGACATCTTTACTCAACTGGATCAGAGAAGAATGATCCTCTTCTCTGTTGTATTTACTATTAAGGAAACTGAGAAAGATTGCCCTCTTTAAAATATTAGCCATAAATAAATGCTTCACACCTTAAATACAAAATTCCACTAAAACGAAGCAGACTGTCATTTCCTTTAAATTTAGATTGTGACAATGTATTGATTCTTAAATCTGCTTGGTTGTGGTGCCGACTTTTTTAGTGCACTTGTGTTCCTGCGCTGCATTAGTGCATTTCACCAAGTAAAACAAGTTTAATGAATAAGACAACATTACAAAGCAGCTGTTACCTTCTAACCACAACAGATCAAGTTGCACAAACAAATTCATGAGATTCATAGACTGACAGTCAGTCCTTAAAAAATGTGTACATTCAGAAACAGCAAAGTTGAAAATGAGAAACATAAAATCCTTTTTGCTAAAATTCTTTTTTGATTTAATTTTTTTTAACAATGCTGTACAATTCTGTCCGAACAATAAAATCCTAGATTAACAGTAATAATGAGGAAAAACGTGACTTTTTAGAAATAAGTGTATAATAACTTTTTTTCAGTTGAGACTAGTCTCCACTTGAATGTAAAAACACACAAAGATATCTTCCTAGAAATTAAGCAATAAGTTAATTGTTTCCAACCATCAGTGCAAAAAAGATTAAAAAACGTAAAAGGGAAGGGACCGTTACTGTGCACGAGACAGTGATCATCTCTATGGGAACAAGATTTTCCCAGGCACAAGTACTTAGGCTTTGTCCGCTGAGCCCTTGGCAGGTCACCTTCTGTTCTAAATGGTGTTTTTTTCCCCTAACGTTCGAGAGGCTTCAGTGCTGCTCACACAGTGCTTTGGGAAGAACAGCAGCCGTCACTGTGGACACGAGACCAGAGGAACTCTTCATTATCCTTTCCCTTCAGTCGGCATTGTCAAGTGCTTCTGAAATGTGGGAGGCCGCATACTTTAACCGGAAGCCACCTGCAATGTCACCACAAACACACAAACAACCACATGCACACATACAGAGATGCATCCAAACACACAGAGGGTATACAATCAGTGGACAGTTACAAAGAAAAAATTAAACCTAATTTAAATCAACTTAAACTATGATCAAACTGTCTTTTCAAAGAACATCATGTCTGTCTACTATTCATGTTTTCAGTTAGTTAAGCACTAACTAGGGATGGGTATCGTTCAGATTTTAACGGTACTACTACTATTACCGATCAGGTATTTCTACTGTGTTTTTATGTTTTTTTTTTATCTCTTTAAGGGAAAAACTTCTTCTTTTTTTTTTTTTAAACCAGAAATGACATTACTTTATTTTACATATAATATATATTTTTTTGTAAATAAAATTACAGACTTGTGTAACGATGGAAATGCAAATAAAATAAAATCAAGTCCTGTACTTAAGTACAATCCTGAAATAATTCTACTTTACTTGAGTATTTACATTTTGTGCTACTTTGTACAGATTCTATAATTCAGAGGTTAATCGTATACTTTTTCACCACATTTCCTTAATATCTTTCGTTACTTTGCACATTTTGATTAATAATGTGAAATATATTCCACCCTTAAATAAGACTCAAGTTACACCTGAGGGGTATACTACGAAGCAGGATTTTCGCTTAGCCGGCTAAATTCAGGGAAAACTCGGGCTTTCCGGTCCTCCGAAGCTGGTTCTCTTTTTAGCAGGCTAGATCTCCATGGTAACTTATGCTTAGCGGCTAACCTGGTTGGGACCAGGTTAGGTTGTAGGCTAAGAGCTTAACTCAGTGAAAGCACTGCCTGCTGACCAATCAGAGCTCAGTGTGCGGAGTTTAAAGCGATCAAGTCATATTACAGGAGAAAGGAAATACAGAAAAACTGCCGTTGCAGGAAAGACGGCCGGCAGAAATCACCGACTGTGTGAACGTGAACATTAATAGAATATCACCTCCCATCTTCAGAGCAATCTGACTATTATAACATTAGCGTTAAGAAAGCTTACTTAAATATCTGCCACAACATAAGTAACCGGATCAGAGTAACATTAAGTACAGTCCGCGGCATATCACATCATAATGTATCATATATCTCCTTATCTGAGTCAGCTGAGCCGTATCTGGCCGTGCAACACTCACAGTGTCACATACTGTATGCACAAGTATTATTTTAAGCAACACATTAACTTGACGAAAGTCAAATGTAATGAAAGTCAGATGGTGTCTTAGACGGGGCAGTGATATCATAAACCTGTTAATGTACGCATTCAAACACTTGTTCTGTTACCAGCTGTATTCACCTTGCAGGTGCAGCTATGTGGCTTTGATCCTGGATACAGTGTTTAAGTCATGGATGTTTAAAGTTTAACTTCTTCATGTCTAATATTAAAGTTGACTTTTCATTCAGGAAGTATGACGCTGCGCTGTCAGTACGCTTGTCCATGTTTGTGATTGGTCGAATGCTCCAGATACCACCCCTTTCATGTGAATGCGCACCTAACTAGATAGGACACAGCTGGTTTGAGCGATCCACTTGATAACCCGTGTCGTAGGACCGTTTAGCGAGAGCGCGTATGTTTTGGATTAGGCCAACCGGCTAACTCAAACATATCCAGGTTAGGTTGAACCAGCTTCGTAGTACAGGCCCCTGGAGTAAAAATCACATGTTAGGACAGATAGCTTGTGTTTCCGCAATAAACACTTTTGCCATTGTCTACATAGAGCCTTGTAAAGTGTAACTATGTTTTAAACGTTTTGTTCCGTCCCCGGCAGATCTACGTGTTAGTGTATGGCGCTGCAGCATGAGAGAGCTGCTCCGCCCTTGTACACAGACGAGAGAGATTGCTCTTACGGAGTGAAGAGAGCAAAAATAAGGGTATTGCAAATTAGAAACAGAGTTGGTTGAATAAGATGTGCAAGATAACGTCTTTCAAAATGTTGCCCTGGGGCCCGCTTAAAACCGGGTTTTGGTACCCATCCCTAGCACTAACACTGGGAGTGTGACAGGAGTCATGCTTCCCAAAGCAAAATCTAAAGGTTGCAACTCTGTGCAGATAGTCCACCTTTGTAATACTAGTCCAAGGTTGTTTTCAAGCATTGCTGCAACTTGTGGCTGATGGGAGTCAAAACATTTACATTGGGGGTTCCTCAGGGTTCAGTATTTAGCCCATTAAGGTTTGGCAAACCAAAATAAGGCAACAAAACCAAATGTGAAATGTGTGAATATCAGAAGTATAACTTGAAGTAAAAGAACTTTCTTTTTTTCAAGAGAAAAATAAAACAAAATAAAAGTGCAGCCCACTGCATTTTCCTGAAACTTTTCAATGCGAATGTATAACTGTCGACTTTTTTCTTATCTCTAATAAGCTATCGGGGACAATGGGTGGTTGGGGTTCTGCTCTTTGCAATTATATCATTTTCTGGCAGTGATTCCAGGTACCAACAATCGGTTTCCTAACGTACCTCATTACTGGTGGCCCTGTAGATAACCCACATAAGTATTTTTAAGCATTTAAGTGCTGTTATTGCGTGCAATATGAATGTTCCATTGGCACAGCTTCTCTTCTGACCAATAAGGTAACCCATCAGAACTGAAATGAATCAGCTGAAAATATACTTTATGAGGATGAGCCCTAATTTAGTCATGTTGTAGTGCTGGGGTTTCTGGGGAAGAAAACTAAGGGGTTCTCTGTTTCTCCCTGTTCCGTGTAGCTGCACTACCTTGCTGTGTGGAGTCTATGGAGGGCTGGTTGCAGTCCTGAGCATAGTGGCCACTCACACCACAGTTATAGCAGGACACACTGCCGCTTTTCTTATTGACTCCACCTCCGCCCAGTGCTGCAGCAGGCAGCATCCCCAGGGGATTTGGGTACACGTGCTGGTATAAGCGTTGAAAGAAAGATGCCGCTGGCGCCATCTGCTGTTGGAGGTTGTAGTTTGCAGCTGCAGTGGTGCCAAGCATGTGTGATGGCACGTCTGCATGGCTGTGGGAGTGAGTGTGCATGGGACCATATGGGGACGGGTGTGCGGGTGGTGGGGCGGTGGGGAAGAAGGGGGGCAGGGGGGTGGCACCATTGGCTTGGTGGGGGGACTGGGCCTGGGTGAGGTAACTGTTGCTGCACAGGCTTGTGAGCTGAAAGACAGGCGATGGGACGCTGAACACCTGTCGTGTTCCCGCCATCTGGTGGGGGAAGAATAAGGGTGCTTGGCAACCAGGGGGCATAGTGACACTGTTGTTGTTACTGAGGCTGCCTCTGCTACCGCAGTTGTTGTGACAACCACAGGTCCCACAGCCTATTGCATGCTGTTGTTGCTGATGCTGCTGTTGTTGCTGTTGCTGCTGCTGTTGTTGTTGTTGCTGCTGTTGTTGTTGCTGCTGTTGTTGTTGTTGGTGCTGTTGCTGTTGTTGGTGCTGCTGCTGTTGTTGTTGTTGGTGGTGCTGTTGTTGTTGGTGCTGCTGGTGCTGCTGTTGCTGTTGTTGAGGTTGGGTTAGTTGCTGCGGGGGCAAGTGTAGCTGTTGGGTTTGCTGAAGAGTAATGGGGTTTCCAGGTGTAACAGAGGCACTCCCACAGGAAGCACTGTTGTTGCTGTAGGAGGTACAGTCGCTGTGTGCTGTGCTGTGAGTCAGCGCTGGGCTGGGGCTCAGAGCGGGCCCAGGGGTGTGGGTGGGCACAGCTGGAGGGACAGCTGCTTGTACCTGTCCAGAGGATGGAGCTATTCCAGGGGCTGCAGTAGGCATGGCAGAGGTGGGGACAGGGGGCAGGGTGTATGGAGAAGGCAGGCCAGATGGTAAGGTTAAGCCGGGGAGCTTGGCATGTGAAGTCTCCACGTGTGTCAGGGTGGAGGACAGGCCTGGGCTGACACCGGCCGGGTCTTGGCAGGGCAGAGGCTGCTGCAGAGACGAGGCAAAGGATGTCGGGCCAGGAGACATAACTCTGATGGCTCTTATAGGAGCCTGGTGTGAAGCAGGTGGGGCACTAGAACCACTCCCTGTAGCTCCATCCGTGACACCGTGACTCTGAGACATAGTTTTTTTGAACCTCTGGACCAGAGGTTGCACAGCAAGACCTGCTGAAGGAGGGTGGAGGCCAATCGGGGCTATCCCAAAGGTTGGGAGCATGTCCCTCTTCTCTGGGTCTCCTACAATCCCAGGGCCTAGAAGAGCTGGAGGCACTAGGGGCATCATCACGGTCCCAGACGAGGGCATCACATCGGGGACTATGCTTTGGCTGGGAGGAGGAGGGGCCAGTGGAAGTGCTGAGTCAGCAGCTCCATTAGAGATCACAAAGGGCAGAGAACGCATGAAGGAGAAAGGGGGGATCTCTGTACTGGTCTCGGGGCAGAGGGGCCCTGTCTGGGCCTGGTGGTTATTGGAAGACAGAGGCTGGACAGAGGAGAGATCCCCAACCACAGAGGGATCAGTCTGGAGGGCGAAGAACATGTCAGGGCCCGGCCCTTTGCTAGAGTCATCAGAGTGGCTGTCTGTATCTAAAAGAGAAACAAAATCAGGTTAGCGCAGGTTCATGTCACACCAAAATACCTTGGACAATTAAAGCCCATTTCCCGCCATCACCTGGCTTTTGTTTTAAGTGTTAACTGTGGTTACAATTTTGAATTATTCCCAAGACTCTGGAGCTTTTTTTTTTTTTTACTTCATCACCATTGAGCACTGATGGAAGCATGACACCCGGGTGGACACGCAACAGGTATTTCGACAATATTATAATTTAACACACAATTAATATACGCCCCTACAGTACCTCGCTGGTCGTTGTAAATCACACAATTCAAAATTCAACAGGAACAAAACAAAAAAACGTATTACAACCTTCTTTGTTCTAATCCTCAACTTTTTTTGGAGAAAAATTCAAAAAAATAAATAACCGTCTTACTCTTTTCTTACCCTGCTTACAGTTCTTGTCGGCGCAAAAAAAGGACCCGTCTACTGGGAATGTGAGAGCATCCGTACTATATGTGTGTGTGTATGTATGTATGTGTGTGTGTGTGTGTGTGTGTGTGTGTGTGTGTGTGTGTGTGTGTGTGTGTGTGTGTGTGTGTGTGTGTGTGTGTGTGTGTGTGTGTGTGTGTGTGTGTGTGTGTGTGTG